ATCGAAATCAAACATATATATGGTTAAGATTTAAATATATAACTTCAAGCTTTATGAATGCAGAGGGAACTGGTAAAATCAACTGGAAAGGAGTTGCTTATTACAATAGACTGATCGATTACTTGATCCAAAAAGGTATAAAATCATAACTTTTCGTATACAATTGATTTGATTATGAAACAAAATGTAACGAGTTTAATATTATGCTTAGGGATTACACCTTACGCAAATCTGTACCACTACGATCTTCCATTGGCTTTGGAAAAGAAGTATAAAGGCTTGCTTGGTAGAGAAGTAGTGTAAGCACCAACCTGCAGCTATATATACTTACATAATACACACTCTCTTTTCTTTCTTTTTTTTTTGTCTCAGTTTTGAAATTAACTAAAAACTTGCAAACTTTGATTGATGCAAATTTGCAGGAAAGATTTTGCAGATTACGCGGAATTTTGTTTCAATTTATTCGGAGATAGAGTGAAAAATTGGATGACGTTTAATGAACCGCGCGTGGTAGCTGCTTTAGGTTATGACAACGGTATTTTTGCGCCGGGTAGATGCTCTAAAGCATTTGGAAATTGCACTCAAGGAAACTCAGCGACCGAACCATACATTGTTTCTCATCACCTTATCTTGGCCCACGCAGCAGCGGTCCAAAGATACCGCAAATATTACCAAGTAAACTATAACTCATTATAGATTTCTTGGTGTGGTATGATGAAACCTATATGACTCTTTTGTCAAACTAAATAACTCATGTAGATCGATATTATTTGTAAAAAATTTATAGGCAAAACAAAAGGGAAGGATCGGAATTCTTCTAGATTTCGTTTGGTACGAGCCTCTTACTAGAAGCAAAGCAGATAACCTTGCAGCGCAAAGAGCAAGAGACTTCCATATCGGATGGTAAATGTTCAAACTTTTAAACATCTAAACACTAATATTTTACCACTTACTTTTACGGTGAGCTGACAAGAATACTTTTTGTTGCCGGGTAATGATGTTCAAAGGTTTATTCACCCAATAGTATATGGAGAGTATCCAAAGACGATGCAATATATAGTGAAAGAGAGGCTTCCAAAATTCACAGAGGAAGAAGTGAAAATGGTGAAAGGTTCCATAGATTTCGTGGGAATAAACCAATACACGACTTATTTCATGTCAGATACTCATAATTCCACCATACCTAAGGATTTGGGTTATCAACAAGATTGGAACGCGACTTTCGGCTGTAAGTTCTTGGAACATTCGATCCAAATCTGTCTATTTTTTAAGTTTTATTTACAATCCTTTTCCATTTATACACTTGCAGTTGCTAAGTTGGGGAAACCAATCGGTCCAAGGGTGAGCTATACATGATTTTAGTGATTACTTTGGTGTTTTTTCTCTCTAAATAATAGTTTAAAGTATAAATTAATTCATTTACCATAGGCATACTCGTACTGGTTATACAACGTACCATGGGGAATGTACAAGGCCTTGATATATATGAAGGAGCGTTACGGAAACCCAACTATGATTCTCTCCGAAAACGGTATTAAAGACCCAAAAATCTCTAATGAATTTTTTCTTTATTTTGCTATATTCCCAAGATTTATAGAAGATGTTTGAACATATCTTAATAGGCATGGATGATCCGGGAAACGTTACTCTAGCTCAAGGACTACACGACACGACGAGAATCAAGTATTATAGAGATTACTTAACTCAACTTAAGAAAGCAGTGGATGATGGAGCCAATGTGACGGGATATTTCGCGTGGTCGTTGCTCGATAATTTCGAATGGTTATCAGGATATACTTCAAGGTACTTTATCTAGCTATATAATTGTTATTTTTGAGGATATTTTCGTGTTGTTATAATGTTTTTTTCCCTTACTCTTGTATAGGTTCGGGATCGTCTATGTTGATTACAAAACCTTGAAGAGGTACCCCAAGATGTCTGCTCAGTGGTTTAGGCAACTTCTTAAACGAAACAACAAATAAGTTCAAATGTATCAATGGATGGTTTTAGATTTTGATGGTTGAAATTGATCGTTAATGAATAAACGGGGTTGTTTTGTTACTTTTATCTATTTTAAGGGGTTGTACCTTAAACTTTCTCCTTCTTTGACTTTTCAACGCAAATAAAAAACTTCAGCAATATATTTGCATTCTGTACCCTTGTTACTTTCAAATTTCTTAAATTCGTATGGATATAAAACATAGTAGTCCTTATAACCTTATCAAATATCAGGATCATTTACCGAGTGTAAAGCGAGACGTATAAATTGACATATATACCCTTTTTGGAACTAAACTAAGCGCACAAACGCGAAAACAATACAAGGGTGTATCTGTCATTTCATCGCCACACTCTTTTCTCTTCAGTCCTCTGCCACTGTTCCGCGTAAACACTGAAAAAGTAAGGGTTTTACTCTCTTCGTCTTCCTACGGCGAATCTCGGCATCTTCAGAGATTTTCCGGCAACGTTTTGCTTCGCTCTCCCCCATCACCGCCGTTTCACTTCATCGTTTCGTCTGAAGCAATCTATATACGCATTTTAGGTATTACGCTTCGATTCTCCTTCTTAGCGTTGAAATTCCGGAGAATAAACTCTAGTTTATGGGGTTTACGGTCCCGTGTTGCTTCTAAGCGTTTCGATTCTTGTGAACAGTTTGATTGCATCATATTTCGAAACATGCATTTGAGTGGTTCATGATTTTCGCGACTGCTTGCTGATTCGTTTCTCTGTCTTCGTTTGGGGGTTTTGTTTTCATTTGTTACAGTGTGTAAAGGTAGAACAGAGATGGACATTGACGTGATGGATATTGATGAGATTGAGGCTGCTGGGCAGATCGATCTGTCTGACCTAGGAGAAAGTTTTCTCCAGAATTTCTGCAAAAAAGCAGCAACATCCTTCTTTGAAGAGTATGGACTTATAAGCCATCAGCTCAACTCCTACAACTTCTTCATTAAACACGGGCTTCAGAGCGTGTTTGAGTCCTTTGGTGAGATGCTCGTGGAGCCGTCTTTTGATCCAACAAAGAACAAGGATCATGATTGGAGATACGCAACGGTGAAGTTCGGAGAAGTCACTGTCGAGAAGCCCACATTCTTTACGGATGACAAAGAGCTTGAGTTTCTCCCATGGCATGCCAGGCTTCAGAACATGACATACTCAGCTAGGATGAAAGTAAATGTCCAAGTTGAGGTAAGGAAATTAACAAACTCTCTGTTGAAATGAAGTAAATTTTCTGGAATTGAGGAATGATTCCCCTTGCTTGAAAATTCGGAAAGGCTGGCTAAAGAATACCACTTTTTTTAATACAGCATTTGCAATAACAGCATACTGAATCGTGTCTATATAGTCTTAAAGAGCTAACCAACATATGATATCAAATATAAAGGGAAACATCTTGGGTTTATTTATTTATCTAGTTATACTCTATCTCCTTCACTGTTTGCTTTAATTTTGTGCTTCGCGCTTGCATTGAATAAACTGTCAAAATTTTTATTGAAGTTTATGTTTTGCTGGCCTTGTATCTCACTCTTATTACGGGTTATTGTCTAACTGCCTCTTCACTTTATAACTTGACTAGGTGTTCACAAAAAAGGTTGTTAAAAGTGACAAATTCAAGACGGGACAAGACGAATATGTTGAGAAGAAGATATTAGATGTCAAAAAGCAGGACATTCCAATTGGTAGGATACCCGTGATGGTGAAATCTATACTTTGCCAAACAGGGGAGAAAGGAAAGAACGGGGACAACTACAAAAAGGGGGAGTGTGCCTTTGACCAGGGTGGATATTTTGTTATTAAGGGGGCTGAGAAGGTGAGTTATACCAGTTTGGAAACTTTTTGCAAATCCACTGTCATGGGATTTATATTTTGAACTCTTTCAGTGTATAGCTTAGTGGCGGGATTATGCGGCGTTCTTCACCTGAGTTTCTATATATGGAGCACACTTGTTTGCTTAAACTGTTTCAACTAACGACATTCAAAAATTAGTCCTTTTTTGAATACATACTGGAAAAATATCGTCAAGCTGTTACAAGTTCTTAACATGAATATAATGTGTTTTGCAGGTTTTTATAGCTCAGGAACAGATGTGCACAAAGAGACTATGGATTTCTAGTTCACCATGGACAGTCTCCTACAGGTCCGAGACTAAAAGAAATAGATTCATCGTGCGCCTCGCAGAGAATCAGAAATCAGAAGATTATAAGAGAAGGGAGAAAGTACTGACCGTGTACTTCTTGTCGACTGAGATCCCAGTCTGGGTACTGTTCTTTGCGCTGGGTGTGTCATCAGACAAAGAGGTCCATGATCTAATTGCTTTTGATGGTGAGGATGCAAGCATTAACAACAGTCTCAAAGCTTCTATCCGCGAGGCGGATGCAGTTGACAAAGATTTTCGCAAAGGGAGCAGTGCTCTAGCATATGTCGAAAAGCTGATACAAAGCACAAAATTCCCACCTGGCGAAAGTGTGGATGACTGCCTACGACTGTATTTGTTTCCAGGCCTCAAGGGTTTGAAGCAGAAAGCAAGATTCCTGGGCTACATGGTGAAGTGCCTTTTGAGTGCGTTTGCTGGGAAAAGAAAATGTGAGAATAGAGACAGCTTCAGGAACAAGAGAATTGAGCTAGCTGGAGAATTGTTGGAGAGGGAGATAAGGGTGCACCTCGCACACGCTAGAAAAACCATGACCAAGGCCATGCAGAGACATCTCACAGGCGATGGCGATTTGAAGCCTGTTGAGCATTATTTGGATGCTTCCATTATCACAAATGGGCTTAGTAGAGCCTTCTCCACTGGAGCATGGTCTCATCCTTTCAGGAAGATGGAAAGGGTTTCAGGTGTTGTAGCCAATCTGGGTCGTGCAAATCCGTTGCAGACTCTGATTGATCTGAGGAGAACGCGACAGCAAGTCTTGTATACCGGCAAGGTTGGAGATGCAAGATATCCGTAAGTGAAATTTCCACCTCCCCTGGTTTGTTATAAATATATCTCACGCACTAATCTATATGCTGTATAGTCTGCATTTACTCAGTTTTACATATCTTCAGTCTGTTTGATAGATATTCACATTAACTTATTTTATTTCGTTTATGATGGCAACCACTGTTTTCTGCAGAGTCAAATCTGTGTAAGCCAGATTTATACTGAATTTGTATAGATTATACTACTATTTAGAAATTCTGATACTGTCTTTCTTGTTTCTTTTTCCCTTGGTCTCTCTATCCGGTGAATTTTTCCTGATGTCGACAATGAGATTATCCATTTTGGTTACTTTTTAATGTGTGCAATTAGAAAATTGAATCAGGTTGGGAACTAACATCGATGGCTAATTGAACTGTGACTGCATTGTGTGTAATGTTGCCACAGGCATCCCTCTCACTGGGGTAGAGTATGCTTTCTGTCAACTCCGGATGGTGAGAATTGTGGTCTTGTGAAGAACATGTCTCTCCTTGGACTGGTCAGCACTCAAGTTTTGGAGCCTGTGGTTGAAAAACTATATGCTTGTGGAATGGAGGAGCTGGTGGACGATACAAGCACACCACTGTCTGGCAAACATAAAGTTCTTCTCAATGGAGACTGGGTTGGATTATGTTCAGACTTTGAGTCCTTTGTCGCGGAGGTAAAAAGCAGCCGGCGTCAAACTGAATTACCTCGTCAGGTAACTACTGCTTCAACAAGTGTCATGTGTTACCTTGGATTTTTTCTGCTTCACAATTGTCTGTGTTGTTATATCATTATAATACATATCACAATATGCTTTGCAGATTGAAATCAAGCACGATAAAGATGAAAATGAGGTGAGGATTTTCACTGATGCTGGTAGACTACTCCGACCTCTCTTGGTTGTAGAAAATCTCCACAAGCTGAAGCAAGACAAACCTTCACATTACACCTTTGAGCATCTTCTTGACCAAGGGATTCTCGAGCTAATCGGTATTGAGGAAGAAGAAGACTGTACCACAGCATGGGGAATCAAGCAGCTTCTGAAGGAACCTACCAATTATACCCACTGCGAATTGGACCTGTCCTTCCTGTTGGGTGTGAGCTGTGCAATTGTCCCATTTGCCAACCATGATCATGGTAGGAGAGTCCTCTACCAGTCCCAGAAGCACTGTCAACAAGCCATTGGGTTTTCATCAACGAACCCTAACATCCGCTGTGATACGCTGACCCAGCAGCTGTTCTATCCCCAGAAGCCACTTTTCAAGACATTGGCATCGGAATGTCTTCAGAAAGAAGTGCTGTTTAATGGCCAGAATGCAATAGTTGCTGTGAATGTTCATCTTGGGTACAACCAAGAGGATTCCATTGTGATGAACAAGGCTTCACTGGAGCGTGGTATGTTCCGTTCTGAGCAGATTCGGAGCTTCAAAGCCGAGGTTGACAGCAACGACTCAGAGAAGCGGAAGAAGATGGATGAGCTTGTTCAGTTCGGGAAAACTCACAGTAAAATAGGCAGAGTAGACAGCCTTGATGATGATGGGTTTCCTTTTATTGGTGCTAATATGCACAGTGGCGATATTGTCATTGGCAGATGTACAGAGTCTGGGACTGATCACAGTGTAAAACTCAAGCATACCGAAAGAGGGATTGTGCAAAAAGTGGTATTATCATCTAATGATGATGGGAAGAATTTTGCTGCGGTTTCTCTGAGACAGGTTAGCTCCAGATCATACTTATTTGAGTTGTCTTTAAGAGAATGTATCCCTTTGAAGTAATCCAACTCCATTGATTGGCTTTTACATCTTGCAGGTTCGTTCTCCATGCCTCGGAGATAAATTTTCTAGTATGCATGGGCAGAAGGGTGTTTTAGGCTATCTAGAGGAACAGGAGAATTTTCCTTTCACGATCCAAGGCATAGTTCCTGATATAGTGATAAACCCGCACGCTTTCCCTTCTAGGCAAACACCGGGCCAACTCTTGGAGGCTGCTCTCTCCAAAGGAATAGCTTGTCCTATCCAAAAGAAGAAGGGAAGCTCTGATGCATACACCAAATTGACTCGACATGCCACTCCTTTCTCCACTCCGAGTGTCAATGAAATCACCGAGCAGCTTCACAGGTACTTTCTTCACACTGGCACTTGGTTTTAGCAACACATGCAGAATATTGAAAAAAATTGAAACAGTACAGGACTACAAGGCTTAATGCTTTAAATGAGTAGAGGTCAGTAGGTATGCTATAACTGATCGACATTTGCTTCCTAGGGAGTACAAAAGGTTTTGTTTATAAGATTCAAACATGTCATAGTGAATATGGTTTTGTTTCCTAGTAGTACTAAAGGCGAGCATGACTTTTTTGGTGTGCACTATCTCCGAAACACTAGAATCCTAAGAAGTTCGATGTCCCTGGTTGACTTATTTCTTCTTTTGTACCTGAAAAACTTATAGAGAGTACACAAAAAATGGGCTCAAAAGCCATGAGCCAGTGTAATAGTTAGAGGATTGAGGCTTAGTCATTTGCCTTGTGATTATGTGATGATTCATTAAACATGCTTCTTAGGTAATTGTTGATTCTTGAGTCTTGATTCATTGCCAATTGTAAATGTTTGTGGTTAGGGCTGGCTTTTCAAGATGGGGAAACGAAAGGGTCTACAACGGTAGATCAGGAGAGATGATGCGTTCACTCATATTCATGGGGCCAACTTTCTACCAGCGGCTTGTCCACATGTCAGAGGACAAAGTCAAATTCAGGAACACCGGACCAGTTCACCCGCTCACACGCCAACCAGTTGCAGACAGAAAGAGGTTTGGTGGAATAAAGTTTGGAGAAATGGAGCGAGACTGCCTTATAGCTCACGGTGCTTCAGCCAATTTGCACGAGCGTCTCTTCACGCTAAGCGATTCATCGCAGATGCACATCTGCAGGAAATGTCAAACCGTTGCGAATGTGATCGAGAGGACAGTAAGCAGTGGAAGAAAGATCAGAGGACCTTACTGTAGACTGTGCGAATCTTCGGACCATGTGGTTAGAGTTTATGTGCCTTACGGAGCTAAACTTCTGTGTCAGGAGCTGTTCAGTATGGGAATCACTCTCAACTTCGACACCAGGCTCTGCTGATTCTCAGTCTTTTATGTTTATATCTATCTATCGGTACATATGGCTTATAAGCCTTAGACCATGTTATGTGTA